TTCTGCGGTGAGATATGTGAGGTCTTCTCCAGCGAGATTACATAGGTTTAAGGAGTGTGTGGAGCAAGAAAAAATTGAAACAAAAAGTCTTTTAGTTCTTGATGTAGAAACAAGGTGGAACTCCACTTACTTGATGTTGGATGTTGCTTTAAAATTTAGGAAAGCATTTGACTTGTTGGAAATCCAAGATAATAAGTATAGAGAAGAGCTTACTAGCGGGGAAAGATCAAAGGGGTTGCCTACACATATTGATTGGGAATATGCTCGATACTTATTACCTTTTTTGAAAGTTTTTTATGATGCAACTCTACGTGTGTCAGGTTCCCTTTATGTTACCGCTAATGTATACATGGAGGAGATATATGGCATTGGCTTGAAGATTTTGATATGGTGTACAAGTGATGATCCGAGCTTACGTTTGATGGCAGCGAAAATGAGAGGAAAACATGACAAATATTGGGGAAATGTTGATAATATCAACATAATGCTATTCATTGCAGGAGTATTGGATCCCAGCAAAAAGTTAAAATATGTATATTGGGCTATTGATAAGTCGTATGATGCTGAAAAAGCCAATAAACTCAAAACAAAAGTGCATGACACTCTGTTTGCTCTATTTAAGGAATATAGTTTGGCTAAGGCTTCTCCCAGTGTGCAATCAAGTCAACAAACTAAACTTGTAAAAAACATTGATTTGACTGATGCAAATGTTGCTCCTCAAGTCACCATGAAGGCTATGTTTAAAGATGAAAAGGCTGGACAACATGCTTTGGAGCCTAAATCTGAGTTGGAAAAATATTTAAATGAAGCATGTGAAGATGATGAAAACGAGAACTTTGATATCTTGACTTGGTGGAAGATGAATTCACCAAGATATCAAATTCTCTCTTTGATAGCACGAGATGTTTTGGCTATGCCTATTTCTACTGTTGCATCGGAGTCAGCTTTTAGTACTGGGGGTCGTATATTAGATTCATTTCGTAGTTCTCTTACTCCTAAGACAGTGGAAGCTCTTATTTGTGCACAAGATTGGATTCGGGCTACGCGTACACCGTTTGTCAATGAGGAGAGCTTGGATGAAATATTGGAAATTGAGTCAGGTCAAAATTTTGCTTTATTTTCAAATAATTAATATTTAGTTATAACTTATATCTTTCGTGTTGAATATATTTGGTATCATTACTCATATTGTGTTTTTGTCCAACTTTTTGTAGGGATTTCATCTTTGGCAATGGAAAATTCTCGTGTTCATCTAGATGATTGTTAACTAAGACCATTTCTATGTCATTTTGTATTGGTGCAGCCTCCCAAAAGGTACAATATTGATTTTTTATTATTTAATTAGTTTTACCAATAATATGATTCTTTTTCTCACATACAATTCAATTATATATGTTGAATAAAAAATGTTGTTATGTTAATGTTGTTGATGGTTATTTGATGTTGTATTATGTAATGTGTTGATTGTTGAAGTGGGAAAATCCAGCCAATTGGTGGGGCTGGTTTGTTTGATTGGAAAAATAGAAGTGTTTTAATTTATGAGTATTTGAGGTGAAGATAATTTGCCCTGAATAGGCATGAACTCAGTATTTTGCCCTGAGAAAGATTTATAATCAAACCCTTCAATGTTACAAGACCCCAGGTGTTTTTCAAAGCCAAGCATCTGAGATTTCTCTTCGCATGTGTTTAGGACATTGAGTGAATGAGCTGCTGCATATATTAAAGAAAAATGAAAAATCAAAATACCCATTTTTACTATCAAAAGCTAATCTGGTTCTAGAAAATGTAATCACACAAGACCATAAAACTTAAGAAATGGTGACAAAAGCAAAAAAAGAAAAAAGAAAAAAGAAAAATACCCATTTTATGTACTAACCCGATTTAGTTAAGTTTACTGTTAATTTACCTAATGGGACTAGTGTGTACCAAAAGGCTGTCATTACTGAAGGATTAGTTTCATCTAAGTATGCAGAAGAGATTTTCTGGGAGACGGTGACTGGAATATGTGGGAGTGGTGTTCAGAGATGTGTAGGGATAGTTGCTGATAAGTATAAGGCTAAGGCATTGAGGAATTTAGAGATTCAGAATTAGTGGATGGTTAATCTCTTATGCCAGCTTCAGGGGTTTGTTAGTTTGATTAAAGATCTTCGGTCTAATTTCCTTTTATTTGTTACTGTAACAGAAGATGCCCAGAGGGTGAATGGCAATACCAAAGTTGGTGGGGCAGAGGATGTAGATGCAGAGGTGGGTTATACTCCTTTCAAAGCAATAATTATTGTTGTTATTTTTCATTGTTTGACGTAATATTTTTCCTTTTGTGCAGTGATGAATTGGAGCACCTTGGTCTTTCTACGTGGGGTGGCAAGGGACAAGACTTGATGGTCAATCTATCATTTACTTAAAAAGTCCCCTTGTTTTTCTCTTGCTGTCTTTTTGATGTAAATGCCACAGGAGCATTTCTGCTCTTTGGGTTTCCTTTGTGCTGTAGTGCTGCTTATGTTTGTAGTTCATTGAAACTGTTTGCATCTTAGATTATTATTATTGTTCACTTTGATATTGTTCCTATGAAATGTGACACATTCTAACTGCATATGTTTGTAGTTCATTGAACGCCCAATGAAGGATTGAATTATTTCATTTTAATAAGGAAATCTTAAAATTCGGATAAAATTCGGATATCCGATTATCCGATCCGAATAATCGGATATCCGGATAACTGGATATCCACATAATTCGGATCGGATTCGGATCAAAAAATAGCTTGATCCGAAAATTCGGAACGGATCAGAAAAAGCCCTATTCGGATCGGATATCCGGATTTGCACAGCGCTACTTCTTACCCATAAAACTTTTCTCAACCGCCAGCATGGTGTTAGGCATTTGCTCACCAACGTTGGGCAAATGTTCACCGACAAATGCGATGGCATCCTTGGACGAGTACCATCAACAGCAAGCTTCCGTTGATTCTCTTCTTGGACAGCCAACTAGAAAATTTTGCGAAGCCTCGACAGTGGAGAGGTGGCCAAGATCTGTGTTCTGGATGGTAAGAAGGATTCATTCGGGCCAATGAAGAATTGGGTCAACTGTTGCTAGTCACAGAGACGCTGATATTGAATAAGAGTCGTCGGCGGCTGATGCTTGTTTACTACAACATGCAAAAATGTAGCAAGTATACTAGTCGCAAAAAGTAATAAAGTGATGAGTGAGTATCGTTCCCACGAGGATAGTGTTACTAATTACCGATTTTTCTAGTTTAAGTCCTAATTGAAGCAACACTAAATTGGATTGATGGAAGATTAACAAACTAAATACAAAATGCAAAACCCAACAACTTAANTTTTATTTGTTTACTTCTAGGGGAGTGAATGAAATTTCTACTCAAATAAACTTGCGATGTAATATTTTATACGAACCCATAAAATTAGCAAATAAATCCAAGATGAGAAAGAATACTTGTTATAATTTTGCAAACAATATTAGAATCATGTAGTAATTAAAAGGTTTTGCATGAGTTTCTTAAAAACTCTAGAAAGTTTATACGACTCATTTAGTAATTAAATTGTAAAAATAATGTATATAATTAAATTAAATTAATATATTTTAATCTTAAAATAGCATGATGTTCAAAATTTTAAAAAATATAAAAAAATTGTTGGAGGTTTTTGTTAAGGGTAGGCTATTTTAGTAATTTTGTATATGCAATATACTTTTAATACCACTTATGTATATTAGATATTTTAAAAAGTGAATACCTTTATTAGTCATGTGATCTGGGAAAAGAATAGGAAAAGTGATTTAACTATATTTATACCTAGGGCTGTGCAAAAAAATCCGATATCCGATATCTGATCCTAATCCTCTCCGCTCCGCTCCGGAAAATTCGGATATCCGAAAATTCGAATCGGATACGGATCAAAATTTAGCAAAATCCGAATATTCAGATCGGATAACGGATCAAGATTATTAAAAAATCGGATATCCGTATCCGATCCGGATTTTGCTAAACTACGTCGTTTTGAGTTTTCAAAATTAAATTCACCCTGACACTAAGTCACTAACAGTCTGTCTAAGTGTCTATACTCCAAGTCTCCAACGAAAAATAGTCTCACTCTGACTCTCTGTCTCAGTATCTCTCTCGCTCGACTCGAACACGAACATGCAGTCTCGCACTCTCACTCACGCATAGTCGCACAGCCTCTCACAGAGTCACAGTTTCACTCTCTCAGACCAGATCTCGTCTGTCGTCTCAATCTCTCACTGTCTCTCTCGCTCAAAGCCTGAAACACGCACAGCCTTAAGCCTTTCACTCTCTCAGACCAGAATCACCAGATCTCATCTCAATCTCACTCTGTCTCTCACGCTCAACTCTCTGACTCTCTCGGTCTCTCTCGCTCGAATACGCACAGACAGAGACACAGTCAGTCAGCCACTCTCTCGGTGTCTCACTCTCTCTCGCTCGAACACTCTCAACTCTGTCGGTGTCTCACTCTCTCTCGCTCGAACACTCTCAGATCTCAGTCTCTCTGCCGATTGAAGCCCCAAATCGATTGTTGTCACAACCTAGGGCGACTGCCGCCACACCGTAATAGCCTGGTGCGATTTCATGGTGCTTATTTCTTTATTATTGTTGGTGATGGTTTGTTAATGACTTAATGGTACAAATACAATTTGATGGGTGTTTTTGTTTTGATGTTGATTTGAGTTTGATGTTAATGGCACCGTAATATGGTGCCTTCTCTCTTTGTCTCGGTTACAAACCTTCTATTGTTCATTAGTATTGAATTATTGATTTGTGTTTTGAATTACAAGGTTGATGGAGGCTGGGTTTGATTCAAACTGTGCCGATTGGGTTTGGTTTTATGTGTGTTTCCAAAGATTGTTGGTGGCTGGATTTGATTCAAACTTAGTGACTGGTTTGATTTTGTTTGTTTGATTTGTGTTTCTAACAGCTGCTGTGGTTAATTTGGGNTTTTTTTTTTTTCAATGGTTTTGTGATTTTCTAATTACAACCAGTTATTTATTTATAGGAGAAGTTCATATAAGACAATGACTTCAATGCAACCTTCAGAATTGGTCCTAAGAGATAAGAATATCTCCATTTTGGTTTATATTACCACCTGCTACAGATATTTTTTTTACTTGATTTTTCTAAAGCATATTGTTTTCTGGTCAGGAGCAATCCAGGTTTTCGATTGATGGCCTCAAAGGAGCCTGTGGGAATGACTACTAAACTTGGAAGTGACAAAATAGAGACCGAAGTGGGAGTTGAAAATGGATGTGGTTTGTTTGATGAAATGAAACATCGGTTTCTAAGTTTCAAAAAGCAGAAATTCATGTAAGCAACAAACTCTGGCCAATATTGATTTTATCTTTAAAATCAATTAGTTTGCCTTTTAACACAGCCTACGTTTTGGAACAGGGAAAACTTAGAACATTACCAAAATCTTTCAAATGGTCAAGCACCAAAGGTGAACAATGTTTTTCTTTTTCTTTTTTTGGTTGTAATTTAGTCATTGCTTTTCACACTTGTTCAAATGCTTGAAAGTTTATAGATGGCGCGCTTTGGTTTTAATTTCAGTTTATTTGCTGAAATCTGGAAAAAACAATTTTGTTAACTATCAATTTCTTGGACAGTTTATGGTGATTGCTTGTGCAGACTCCAGGGTTTGCCCCTCAAACATCTTGGGATTTCAACCAGGAGAAGCATTTATTGTCCGCAATGTTGCAAATATGGTTCCCCCATGTGAGGTATCACATACATTTCGTCTGATTTGTCTTAGGCTTTTCTACTTCACAACAATAAAAGGTTGGCACTGCAATGTGAACAGTGAACACTACAGAATGACAATTTATAAGAAAAAGATTGAATGATTTTGTCCTTTTTACCATTTCTAATTATTTTTTAACTCATTTGATTGCATAGAGTGGACCCTCAGAAACAAATGCTGCATTGGAATTTGCTGTAAATTCTCTTCAAGTAAGTATTTTGTGCCTTTACATTTAAGTGGTGGGTTTATATCTTCGGATTTCTTGCAGTTGTTATTTAGATGGTTGGAGTCTGTACTTTGGGATTGCTAAATATAGAAACTTATGGAGAACTATCTGGTCATGAAATCTATTGAGTTATGTACATACCTTTCTTTTGCAAAATGCTGAATCACTCTTTTTGCAGGTTGAAAACATTCTAGTCATTGGCCACAGTCGCTGTGGAGGCATTCGTGCCCTTATGAGCATGGAAGCTGAAGCAGATTCAAGGTAAAAAATATAGAGCACCTTTTTTCTGTAAAAGGTTTTTCTTATGAGCATGTCATATCATTTTTTATAGAACTCAGTTCACGTATGTTTCTCACTCAGCTAAACTCTCTCTGTAGCTTTATTCAAAATTGGGTTGTTGTGGGGAAGAATGCAAGGTTAAACACAAAGTCTGCTGCTCATAACCTGAGCTTTGAACATCAGTGTCGACATTGTGAGAAGGTGATCTACTTTGTCCTGAGTTTAGAATGTCCAAGTTCAATGGTTTAGTTTTATCCAACATAAATTTTAGCTTTTGTGAAAATATGTTTTTGTTGACATTCTTAGTCTTAACAAAATGGTATACACTCATGGCGCCAAGAAAATTACTATTATGAATCTTATAGAAAAAATTATTACTGTTGTGCACAATGGAACACAGTATCTACAAATAAACATTGTTTGGGTTTGACTATTCTTTTTTGGCTATCCTGCTTATCACAGGCTCGGAGTTTTTGTTCTTATCACAAACTCAATAAGTATGCCTTTTTCTTACAGGAATCTGTAAATTGTTCATTGTTAAACCTGCTAACTTATCCATGGATTGAAGAAAAAGTGAAGAAAGGCACACTCTCTCTTCATGGTGGCTACTATGACTTCATTGACTGTACATTAGAGAAATGGACACTGGATTACGAAAGAAGCAATTTAAAGGAAAGTGATAAATTTGCAGTCAGAAACCAATCATTTTGGTGCTGAATTTTACTTCAGTAATCTCTATATGATTTTATTTTATTTTCTTTCTTAAATTCTGTTGTATGCACTTTATTTGTAAATGTCCAGACAATTGAGAAATAATGTTATTCTCTGGAATTTTAGGGAATAACCATCCTGTTGTATGTGAGTTGAAAAAATTGTTGTCTTAAATCTTAATGTTATTCTTTGCTCATAATGTTAACTGTCTTCGTTTTGATTAAAAAGTAAATTTATAGAAATGAAAGGATTTGTAATGAAGTTGGAGGCTTCTTGGAATCTCATCAATTCATTCTTTACTTGGCAGCACAACTCTTTCAAATATCTTATTTCTATCATCGTTAGGAATATAATTTTAGGTTTTGAGGGCTTTGATGCCATTTACTGGCTCGACATACTGTGCCCCCTTTCTGAACCCAACCAATAAAAGGATGCACTTTCCTCTTATTCATTTTTATAGTTGGGTTTGCAAACAGGTTCAAATGGATTTTCTCTTTTCATTTCAAATATTATGTTCTTGACTAATACCCCCCACCCCCATTTTCTCAATCAAGAAAACTACAAATTTTTAGGGGGCGTTTGGTTAAAGGAATATTGGATTACTGGAAAGTTAGATTACCTTGAAGATTATGTGAATCTTTAGGAAAATGTGTTTGGTTAATTTGTGTGTATGTTATATTAATATGTTTGGTTGGGAGGAATAAATAGGTGGGTATGTTATTTAAATTACTAAATTGTCATCTAATTAAATATTATTATTATATTATCTTTTAATATTGATTATATAACCCCCCTGTATTTAAAAACTTAGCAAAAACAACCCCATAATAAAAGTTTGAAAAATCAACAAAACACCCCCACCAACCCAGCCACTCCGGGCCGTCGGCAACCACCGCAGGCTGCCGGTAACCTAACGGCACACGGAAGGCAGGAAATGGCCTCTGTGCGCTGTATGGCCATTTCCCGCCAGAGATCTGGCTGGAAATGGCTAGACGTGACGGCCAGATCGATGATGGATCTGGTCGTTGACGGCCAGATCGGTGCACGGCTGTCATTTTTGGCCTTCCGTGAGCTGTTCTGGCGACGGCGGTGGTTGCCAACAGCAGGCCGCGACAAGTGGGTGGGGGTGGTGGCTTAGGTGGGCTGCAATTTGTTTTGAATTCAAGGGTAATTTTGTCCAAAATGTTTATTAATTGAGATGAAATAGTAAAAGCCATATTTATGTAAATAAATTTAAAAATAAGGGCATTGTTGTCCTAAAATTTCATTAATAAGGGATAGAATTGTAACAAAAAAAAAAAAGGTAACCTTGGTAATCTTAGAATACCTAAGAACATGGAGGTAATCAGATTACCTCTAATATTACCAATAGTAATCACTATTGGTATTTGAAGATTATCGGTATTTTATATTACTAGACAGTAATCAAGTAAAATAAGATGACTTAACCCTAGTAATTCCACATAACCCCAAACCAAACGCCCCCTTAAAGGTATTAAAATCTTAACTAGTCGTATTAAGATTCCGTTGTTCTCCAAGGAATACTTTGTTTAGTATGTATAAATATGATGGAAGTTTAAAACTTTCATTAAGTGGTTGAAATTATAAAGATGAGAATTCTTGCAGCAGCAAGGCATGTCCATTTCTTGATTTCATAATCTTTTAGACTGAATTCTCACCATATCAAGATATTATAAGCTATTAAAATTGAGTTGCTAATGCCTTCAAAAGAATGATACTGTGAATAAGTAGTCAGAGAACTTTTTATTCTCATAATGTAAAAGCAAACACCCAGTAAAATAAATACTTAGATGACACACAATCCATTATTCGTATCATTAGCTTTAGGCAACTTCAATTTCGCGAAATCAAGATAATTAAGTGCAGTTTTATGTTACAACGATGATCCTAATAGACATTACACTTTCAGCAATATAGGGATAGAGACGAGAAAACTTGAGATTTTCCTGTTCCCCTCAACACATTGCGCAAATGCTTGGAGCCTCTCATTCGGTGTGGTTGCTGCTTCTTTTTGGCCCTTTAAAGGGCATTAGTTTAGCCACCCCTGGTAGGTCTTTTGGTTGCTCTTGCGGTGGGGTGGGGTGGGTTGTGTAAAGGGTTGTATATCCTGGATTATTATTATTATTATTTTTTATCGGTTTTGTCCCTTGCTTGATTAGGGTCGAGTTGTCTCGGATTATTCCCGCTTAGGTGTTATTCTTTACTCTACCAGTCACTCAAATAATAATAATAATACAGTAGAGAGTTGGATTAACAAAAGAAAACAGAGATGGGTAAAGTGAGAGATTTCAAAGCTATGGGACTAAATAGAGATTTGCTATTATAACTTTTTGGGGCTCTTTAGATCGGGGGTAAATAAGAGAACGGGGGTAATCTTCGTTTATTTTGTAAGATTCCTGTGTTTGNTCTAGTACCACAACTCAAAACCCAACACAAAAATAAAAATTCTTAATGATACAGAAGGTACTATTTTATTGCAATGGCATTTTGAAAGTTAATAGCAGTTGTAACACACTTAGATTGGAAATATAGACCAGCTACCCATCTTGTAAGTGGCCTTACAATGACTTGAAGATAGATATACAAATGAAATGCTGAACCGATTAGATTCAGTATTTACATTCATTTCAATGGAGAATGAATAGAGGGACTTGCAAGAAGAATACGAGGTGACTACCCTTTTCCCTTCTTTTTTTTTTTTAATTTTATTTCTGTGTCAACAGTTGAGCACCTTTACATACTTATGCCCTGCCTGAATCAAATATATATTCATTAGTAAAAACAGAGTTTATCACTAAATTTGCTTAACAATGCAACCAGCTCTTCCAGCTGAAGCGGATATTATAACACTTCACCAAATATATACTACTAACCGGACAATGGAGAAGGCAGGCAGGCAGGCAGGGTTGTATTTCAGGAGCTCCATGATGATGAAGGTCTTTATCGGACTTCCCGCCTATCCAGATACTCTTCATTGTCTTCAATATCTTCTTGACGTTCTTGCAACAAACTCGGGGAAGTTTTTGTGCTTTTCCGAGAATGTACTCCGTCTATTTCTTGCACAAGTTCATTTTGAACACATACTACTATGACAAACATTTACTTTCGCGTGGTAAGCCTTACTACACTGGAGATACAGTTACTGGCAATCAACATCCTGTTACTTGAAATGCCTGAAAAACTCTCAATTAATGTATAACAGTGTGTAAATTTTTTAGACATAAAAAAGGACTTATGTTCAAAGTTTGTGTGAACATCTGAATCATCAAGTCTTACCAATGTAGGCAAACATTCTATGTGAGAATTTTTTTTAATTGGATGGACAACTACATTGAAGAATCTGTGAGCTAGTTTTATTGAAAAATTTGTGAGTTATGACCACATACTAAGAAAAATAGATTATGACCATGTGGATAGAGAGGTAAATACTTTGTAATTACAATTCATCCATTTAATGTGACAAAATGATTAAAACATAAAACTTTATTGAAAGGTAAAATTTTCTATCCATTATGTCCGGTAGTTGGCTACTTTATGTGTTTCGTTATCATGAATGTTTTAGGCTCAATTTGCAACCATAAATTATAGTTTCCCTTTTTAATTTTTAGAAACAAGTAAACGACATTTTTCCATCCAAATAATGGTTTAATGACATTTTTCTGCCCATAGCTTTTAAAATATAATTTTACTACTAATATTGATGTTTAATAATAATAATACAATAGAGAGTTGGATCAACAAAAGAAAACAGAGATGGGTAAAGTGAGGGATTTCAAAGATATGGGACTAAATAAAGAATTTACTATTACAACTCTTTTTGCATTAAACTGGAGCGTTTTTGGTAATATTCTATGACACTTACAAGACCCAAGCTTGCATATATATAACCCAAATCCACGGCCTTTTAACATAAATATATAATATTTATACTTATAAACAAGGAATTATACTTAAGGTTGGGGTGGCCAATAAGTAAAATCGTATATATTTTATCATAAATATATAATATTTATACTTATAAACGAGGAATTATTCTTTGGCTTACGGTGGCTAGGGCCACCAGAGACCAAAGAGTAGCTTCGCCCCTGATGGTGGGTTGACTTCAAGCTAGAATTTGTTACAAAATATCTTAGAAACAGTATTTAACTGTCCTGATAGGGACATTTTAAACCCCCCATTAGTATAGGAAATTACACAAAAGACCTGCAAGTATGGAAAACGCCGTTAAAATAAATAGCTGAAGGGGATATAGTTGAGATTTCAAGTTTTTTATGAGTGGATTTTTGACTTTTCTTGAATTCTCTAAGATTTGCTTTGAAGTTTTTTTTTTCCATCGGCTGTAGAGGGTTTTTAATTAGACTAATTTTGAGGTGTACTAAAATTATTATGATTGACTCAAAAATCCCCTAGAATCAGTATAATATATTTTTTAGGGGTTTATAAAACACCTCAAATCGGGGTGTTTTGATTAGTTTTAAAATTTTATTTTATCAATACCATATCCACTACAAAACTATCCCAATTATATTAAAAAAAATTAACCATATTATTCGTGTCTCCAACCATATAATTAAATATAAAATAATTTTAAGCAATCATAAAAAAAAATATTAAAATCTCATTTCTAGATGCTTTCTTGAAGAAGTGAAGCTACAATTTTTCAATCATTCCATATGTTGCAAATAATGACGAAGAAAGATAAAGAGACTTTATCACATTTGAAGTTATAAAATACTAATAAATAGAAAACAAATAAAGAACTCTTACCTTGTAATTGAAAAAACAAAACTCCAAAGTATTGGTTGAAGTTAGGGTATTTTTATGGGCATATATGTAAATTTATCGTTTTAAAAAACCGTCAGAACCGTTGAAAAATAAACTCCCAAGCATAGGTTTGATGTTTTAAAAACCCCTCAAAACCGCTATGATGGTTTACCCTCAAAACCGCTTCGGTGATTTACCCTCATAACCGCTACCATGAAACTCCCAAACAGACCCTTAGTTTTTT